CCCCAAAACCCCAAAACCCCAAAACCCCATAAATTTTCAATCCATTGAAACCACTTTTAATATCATTTCAACTTCACCCTGCTCAAAATTATTCGTACCTCACCCTCACTCCCAGTCATGACCCCCACTCACTTAACCAAACTTGACCCTAACTCTCCTTCCCAGAGTACCTTCTCCACCCAAAATCCTACTAAAATTCCCTCTTCTTCCTGGCAGGCCCAGCTGCAGCTGGATTTCGCCTAACCCTTTATTCGAAGAAGGGTCTTATACCTCCTCCAAAATTCCTTCCCCACTCAAGCAGCTTCCTTCCACCCCAAAGATCACCAGCCAGCCTGAAAAGACTGGTTCTACTGAAGAAGCTCTGCTAGAGCAAGACCAGAAGGAATTCTTGAAGAAGGACAGGCAGCCATTCGAGATGTTGTATGACTGACAAGAGAAGGATATCCCCTGTGATGTCTGACTTAGCCCAGATGATTATACGGATAACCAGGCAGTGTATTGTTCAAGTTGATCGGTTGTGGTACATTCTTCGTGTGAGAAGTATTCGCTTTCAGATGGGATTCCTGAAGGGGATTATAACTGTCCTAGGTGCACACAATTTAAGAAGGCTACGGATAGGATAAAAAAAGACCTCAAACTTTGGGAATGCTCACTTTGTGGAGAACTGAAAGGATTTATGACTAAGATGCCTGACAACACTTGGGCTCATTCCTATTGAGTATTCTGGTTCAATGGAGGTTGTAAAGAGAATTTCTTCTTCTGGAAAGAGCAAAGAAGAGGAAAATTTAACCAAAACTGTAACTTATGTGCTAAAATAACCAAATTTCCTGTAAAAAAGTGTGATTTTCCAACTTGAGGGTCTCATTTCCATATGAACTGAGCTAGGCAACATGGGTTCTTGAAAAAATGGCTTTTAATGACGAAGGTACATCCTAATAATGAGATAAAGTATAGTGAAGCAGCTATTTCCTAGCAAATTCTCTCAGGGTAAATTTTTTCATATTTACTGTGGAAAGCATTACGAAAGAGCAAAGACTAAACCAGGGATATTTAGAGCAGAATATATGCAAGGGTTAAAGGAGATATCAACTTCATTTCTCCAAAAAAGAATAAATTGACGATCGAAGAGCGAAGCCAAGGAAAAAGAAAAATCTACAAAGACTAAATCTTCAAAAAAGAGAATATTAAAATCAATCAGAAAAAGGGAAGAAGAAATCTGAGCTAATCAAAAACAAAAAGCCAGGCCTATAAAACCTCACCCAAAAATCAGGTCAAACCCCACCCCTATACTCAACCACCCCTTTCCAAACCCTCTCCAACCCTCAGAACCACCCTCAGATGTCTTTAAAACCCAATTTCCCCTCAACATTCTAAACTCACGTTTCCAATCCATGCAACGAGCATTCCACCAATCCGTCCAAGACCAGCTCTCATCCACCTTCAAAGCCTTCCTCACCGACTCATGCTTGCTCAAATCCCTCCTGCTCAACTGTAATTTCGCCACTAGAGACCATCTAATCTCCTCCCTCACCCGCCTCCTTTGCCAAGAAGGCACCTACATCGCCCCCAAATCCCTCTACATAATCCCCAAATCCAGCCGCCTATTCCTCCTCTTCGGCCGCACAGAAATAAAACCCGACCAAATCTTCCCACTAATTTCTAAAAATCTCTCATAATTCAAAAAACTTCAAAATTTTCAAAATTTTCAAAATCTTAAGGGGTTTTGGGGTTTTGGGGTTTTGGGGTTTTGGGG